TGATTTACCTTTTAATGGTAATGCTGATTTTGAAATGTATTAAATATAATATAAGAACAAAAGAGGCCAATTCATTCAGAAACTCATTTCAGTAGTTTTCCAAAATACAAAATAACTTTTTTTCTGAATATAAAAAATATTGTTTAATGATTTTTAACAAGTTGCATGAATTTATTCTTTAAATGTTTTTACATTACACTTTAAAAATAAATATAAAAGTTAGCTGGGTGATGGTGGCTCACACCTGTAATCCTAGCTACTTGGGAGGCTGAGATCTGGTGGATGGCAGTTCGAGGCCAGTCTGGACAAATAGTGTGCAAGACCCCCATCTCCAAAATAGCCAGAGCAAATGGACTGAAGATATAGCATATGCTTTACATAATGCTTATTTCTAACTTCGTCTAATCAAGACAAATATAAAACATGACACTTTATGATCTGCTTTTCTTTTTTCACCTGATAGGCATTTTTCCATGTCAATAGAAATCTACCTCATGTATGGGATCCTATTTATGTTCCCAACTCCAAATTTGGAAATGTCCAATGTCTTAAACATAAGTCACTTCCTAATTTTCCATATTATTCTAAATAAGGCTATGATAAATATCTGTATTTCTAGATCTATGTATCATTCCATAATTATTTCACTTATTCCTTGGAATAAATCCCAAGAAGTTACACAGTTTATACATTTTAATTATTAATAGCTGCTTATGGATTACCCTCCAGAAAGTTTGATTCAATTCACAGTGAGCAAATGTCCTATTCTCTATATCTTAATTAGCAATTCTTTGATTACCAGAGTCAAGGATATCAAATCAGGAAACATGCTTTTGCATTGTGCTTTTAAGATTTACGAAAAACAACCTCTTTCATGCTTACTGGTATAGGATGATATATGAATAATCCCTTAAATATCCTTAAGCATCACGAATACCATGTAGATAAAAATATAAATTTGTCTACTAGGATGTAGACAAGTCCTTGAGCACAGTGACTTTCTTCTGCTGCATTTACTGATGGTAGGCTGGCTCCAGAATAAAGTTGAGCTGAGCCTATGCTCAATTCATCTTAAATTTAGTATCAGAATCCATCTAATTCTTCAGACTCTGACTGAGTAAAGGAGTAGAAAGGCCCAAAAATACAAGAAATGAACTCCTTTCCCAGAAAAGAACTTTAAGAAGAAGAAATGTTCCCAATTTACACCCTGAATTGTTCATATATTGCTAATGATTTCACAGTTTTTGTTTTTAATTTTTAGTGTCTTGACAGTACTGGTATTTAAATTATTTATGCAGTGCAAAATGCAAGCTCTCAAAGTGTCTTCCTTAGACCAACATCACTGTCATCACCTGAGAACTTGTCAGATATGCAAGTTTCAAAGCCTACCTCAGACCTACTAAATCAGAAATTCTGGGAGCAGGTTCAGTTATCTGTTCTTACCATTAGAGCCACTCCACCAGGTCCAGTTATCTTTTCTTGATCAGACTTCCAGATGACTCTCATCCATGTCTAGATTTGGGGACCACTTAATGTAAAATTTCCCCAGCAGTTTCTATTTTTTTAGATTATGATCAGAAAGGTCTTAACTCATGAATTATAAATCATATAATTCCCATCTTTAACACTTAAATATTTAACCCATATAATATAATCTTCATGAAGGCAGGACTCTTCATATATTATCTATCTCTTTTATCCTAAAAATGTGATTGGCACACAATGGGCTTTTAACATATAGTCACTAATTTATTTATTTATTTTATTTATGCATTTGTGAGACAGGGTCTCCCTATGTAACCCAGGCTGGTCTCAAATTTATAATCCTTCTGCTTCAGCTTCCCAAGTGCAGGATTACAGGTGTGCACCAATATGCCTGATTTCACTAAATTACTAGATTAACTACTTAGTTTGGGTGTAAAATGAGACAAGTCCTTTATAGAATATTCCTTGAAGGAATAACTATAAGGAAACTATAGTAAACCTTTCGCTTAGTTTGGGTCTTTTAAAATGGCAATCCTAATTAGAATAAACTAAATCACTGTATCCCCTCGAGTGGTGCATGTGGGTTATAATTTTTTTTTTTCAGAACTGGGGTTTAAACTCAGGGCCTACACCTTGAGCCGCTCCACCAGCCCTTTTTGTGAAGGGTCTTGAGAACTATTTGCCAGGGCTGGCTTCAAACTGTGATCCTCCTTATCTCTGCCTCCTGAATAGCTGGGATTATAGGCGTGAGCCACCAGAGCCCAACTGTGGGTTATTTTTTTTTTATTATTCATATTTGCATACAATGTTTGGGTCATTCCTTCCCCCATCCCCTCCCCCAACTGTGAGTTATAATTCTTAGTGGCATTCATTTTTCTAGTTCCGCAAAGAAAAGTTCAAATCTGAAAGGACTCTTAGCTCTGTTATAAAAAATTACCCAAAACCTGGAGACAGGCAAAATGGATGGCTGTTTGTCCTTTCAATATACTATTGGGTTTTATATAGCAGGCACCCTTTGGAATTACCTTATTCCCCAGGAATGTAAAGTGTTGGGGAGAAAAAACCTTCCCCTATCCTTTTAGATTCAGTCATGGACACATGTGAATTAAACTTAACAAAAGATAGATTATAGAGGAAAAGACACACAATTGTTAAATTAATATTTACCTGTAAGGAAGTTCACAGAAAAGAAGTGGAACTCTAAAAGGTAGTTAGACTTTGGAGTTACATACTTTTTTTTAACATAAGAAAGCTTGAGCTTTAATAGTTCATAAATCATGAAACAAGTAGAAAATGTATAGGGGAACTAGTGGAGAATAGTGGCAATTTTAGTAAGGAATATTTATGCAAACTCCTTTTTGACTCCTTGTTTATGTGGTAAACCTTATTCTTCCCTTCACAATATGGGGGCTGGGGATACATTTACCGAGGGAAATTTATGCCCTAATTTTAGGCAGAAAAGTGGAGGGTAGAGAACTCTCCCTGTATCTATTGATTTCAGTTGTCTTTTGCTCAAGATAATTCTTATGCCAAAGTGGCATGTTTTGAGATGGCATATCCTGAACTCCTACTGTCTTTTTTTTGCTCAACTTGATATATAATATTGTTTAGCATATAGATATTATACAAGTCTGTAAGGATAGACATTAATATGTAGAAAACTAGTGGTAATAGAAATAATTTTGTCTATGACTTTGTCCCATAAAAAAGATTAACACCAAAGGTAAATGATTTATTGTCCTGGATGACAATAACTAATTTTATATCTAAATTATCAGTTTTGCTGAATGTGATGCTTCATGCCCATAATCCTGGTACTCAGGATGCTGAGGCAGGAGGATTTTGAGTTTGAGCCCAGCCTGGACAACACAAGGAGACCAGTATCAGAAACAAAACAAAATAGAAAGCAAAACAAAAATATGTTCCAGCCATCAGTAGCAATCAGATGAACAGGCTTAAATTATTCCAAAAAATGAACCAATAGTTAGCATAGGCTGGGGGGTGTGGTACAGCATACGCCTAGTATGTGTGAGGCCCTGGGTGTAATCTCCAACACAACAAAAGAAAAAGTTTCTAGCCATGAGCCAGTGGCTCACGTCCATAATCCTAGCTACTTGAGAGGCTGAGATCAGGAGGACTGTGGTTGGAGGCCAGCCCCAGGAAAATAGTTCATGATATCCCATCTCCAAAATAACCAGGGCAAAATGAACTGGAGGTGTGGCTCAAACAGTAGATCACCTCATGAAGTCTTGAGTTCAAACTCCAGTCCCACCAATAAGGAAATTTTCTAATTTTGGCCTTGGAAACTTTTTCAGGTCAGCTAATCTGTTCCTTAACTGTCCTCACCCTATTTTTTTTTTAATGCTTTCTTCTTATATTTTTACATTAGAACATCTTTATTAGAAAATTACCAGTTATTTTCACTTTAGTATCAGGGGAAGAAAACATGAACATTACTTTGACATTCTAGCAACCCATTTCTGCTTGTTTTTCATCTGCTTGGCAAGGAAAGTAAAGAGAGGAGAGAACTACTTGCAGAAAGTGAACGTAGGTAGATGTTTGTGAATGGTAGGTAAAATGATGGTAGCAATTGGAATGAATTCAATACTTTTCAGTTGTGGGAGGTACTAGACTCAGATAAAAAGATTTCCAGGAGAGGGGTGTGCATCCAATCATGCAATAACACTGACTGCCCACCTTTGAGTTACCTATGGGAAAGCCAAAAACAAAACAAAAAATCGGTATGTGGGTGTGTGGAGGCATGAGTTAGGAAGTTAGGGCTGTGGGAGAGAGATAAAAGCAAGCACGCTTTTGAGTAAGAAACTATTTGTGCCATGCAATTCAGGAATGGCAATGTTAGACCTGGAAGACTTAACAATCAACAAGAGGTGGTAATGACTGCAGTAGGAAGGATGGGCCAAAAGACATAAATTCCAATCAAGACAATAAAGAGCACTGGGGTGAGACTTAATAATCACAACAGCAAACACTCGACCCAGATGCTATTATCAACACTATCAACTCACTAAAACCCTCCTATCATCCTGTGAAGCAGCTACTGTCGTTACTTGTCATAGATGAGGAAACTGAGGCACAGAGAACTGACCAAGTCCACACACTGGAAATGAACTGGGAAAGGACCGCAAGCACTCTGGCTCTACTACTCCAAATACTGTCCACACGAGGTGACCTCTGAAAGAACTCCTCACTCACTGCTCTCTATCGCCGTCGTCCCTGGCACTTTTTTCCTTCTTGTTAGGCACAAGTATCTGAAAGACATATCATTCTCTCACATTTCCTCGCTTACAGACCAGAAGCAGCAGTAATTTACTTCCTGGATTGGAATGGGATCAACGGACACGATTAACAATGCGCGGCTGAACTTGGGAGGAGATCGCCGGTGGAACCAACGCCGCAGCTCTTACATGCCCAGCCCTGGCTGCTACACCGACTATCCCGAATCAGGGAAGAACCGCTTCCGGCGGGACCGGAAGTCCGGCGGGGTCCGTGTGTAGGACGGACTGACGGGCCCACAGTTCTCCTGGGTCCGGAAGGCGCTGTCTGCCGAGCCTTATGCAGGAGCGGCTGAGTAAGTGGGTCCCTCAGACAGGGTCGTCCGGGTGGCGTGCCCTATTCGGCCGCAAGTGTAGGTGGTACACATCACGCGAATTCATAAAAACTGCCGGTTCGCAAGGTGTTGCAAGATGCATTTCTTACTTGAGTGACTCCTTCATGTGACCAAGGCTTGTCAGCAGTTCTCCCTCCCACAGGCAACCGGCTGGCGTCCTTCCTGCGCCCGGTCCCATGCCCATCCCACCCCTGTCCAAGGCTTTCTGGACTCGAGTTAGGGGCCGAAGGCACCCCACGTTGTGATTTTTTTGCTTTTACAGTGACTTTTTCTCCTCTCCTTTCAGATAAGTTTCAAAGCCGCCAGTTTACATCCAGACGTTTCCGCTTAGCGCGGCTGCTTAGTTCCAACATTCTTCAGTGTCCTTGCGGCGAGAATCACCGACCTGGGAGGTAGAAAGTCTGGGTGCAAGGCCCGACTGCCCCTGCCTAGAGGGGCGACATTGGAGAAACCGGACTCCAGCTTCCTCTTATGTAAAGTGAGAGGCTTTTGGGTGCTTCCAGTGCTGACGTTCGCGTTGTTGTCCCCATGTGTCTTATCTAATTCCTGCCTCACTTACACTTCTGTATGTAGGGTCCTTAGCCTGACTGCATTAGTCTGTGCCCTGGTCAAATCTGGGCTTCGGATTCGTTTACGAATAATATCCTAAAGAATCCTGTATTCTCTGAACACTTACTGCTAGATCAGGTGTCCATACCTAAACAAGGTTTTGATGTATGTAGTTCTTGAAGTGTTTGATGGATGTGAATGTTTGGTTACTATTTAGTAAATTTCTAAATCTTTTTTTTCTGCTTTTGATGCTTTTGGTGGTGCTGGGTTTGAACTCAGGGCCTTGCACTTGCTAGGCACTACCACTTGTGCCCTATCTCCAGCCCTTGAATTTCTAAATATGATGTGTGTGTATGTTTTTGTTCCTTTTTATTTTGTTTATTTATTTTTTGGCACTACCAGGGTTTTAACTGAGAGCATCATGCTTGCTAGGCAAGAGCACCACCACTTGAGCCACACCTCCAGATTATAAATTTCTAAATATTAATGTCTATTTCTTTGGAATTAAGTCAGAATTTTGATCTTTATTTGAATAACTATTTAAGCTAAAATACAAATTATGTTAAGCACACAAAAAAACCTCAGAATTATCTATAAGATAGTGACTAATAGCTGGTGATAAAGTATGTACATCATCTAATTTTCTTTTTCTAGCCTTTTAATAGGAAAAATAGATATTTAAACACTTTTACTTTCTTTTTTACAGAGCTCAGGGAAAATGTGGCCCAGAGGAAAGAAGTGACATGCTCAGTCAAGATAACACTGGTATATGACAAAGCAGGTGTCCACCCAAGGTTCTTCTGTTGTCCAGTCAGGTAGTTTCTTCACTGTCCTGTGCCTTTTTCAGTTACCAATTCCTCCCTTTAAAAATATTCACTGTGCTTTATTTACTGCAACAGAACCATAGACTACTTTCTTGGAAAGACTGGTTGAAATGTAACATTTAATTTTTTTTGGTGGTGATACTGGGGTTTGAACTCAAGGTCTCATGCTTGCTAGGCAGGTGCTCAAATCCCCAGCCGAACATTCAAGTTTTAATTTAATGTCCAGTTATGTAGCAGTTTTCACTTGCTCAGAGCCTTAATTTCTTTGGTGATATCTTGTAACTCGTATCATTTCTGAATAATTTTTAAAGAGTATATAGCAGAAATAGAAATGTACATAAATAATTATGTAATATTGTAAATACATTCTGTATTTCATATAAATACAAAATATAAGCAAATTGTAGAAATGCCTTCTTATGAGAGAAACACAACATTTTAAGACAATGTAAGAGTTTAGGATTTGTTCAAGATAGCTATATATGTTTAAGGTAAACACATTGAAATATTCCATAATTTTTATTCTTTTTTTGTAATGTTGAATAGTATAAAACAATATTCATAATGTGTTCTTTAGTGGTAAAGTTACAAAATATTTCATTTTTTAAAAATAAAATAGAAGTAAGCACAAAGGAAAGACTTGAAAAGATAGACTTTAAAATGTTAAATAAGGTTTTTCTTTTGGTGGTAATGGGGTCTGAACTTAGGCTTTGCGTATTTGAGTCAGTCATTCTGCTTGAGCTACACCTCTAGCCCTTTTCTTTCTTTTTTATTTTATTTACTTTTTTTGGTGGTATTAGGGATTGAAACAGGCTCTTGTGCATGCTAATCACATGCTCTCTCGCTGGGTTACACCTCCAGCCCAGGTTATTTCTGAATAGGGAATAAAAAAATTTTTAAAAGTCTTTCAGCCCATATTAACTATTTGGAAATTTATTCCCCTTTCAAAACAAAAATAAAAAAACCTTGAAATGACTACAGTTCACAGAAAGGATTGTACGTATCATTGCAAACTATGTCAGTCATAGTTGAGAGCTACTATATTGAAAACTCTGAGGATGGGGAGCTTTTTGTGGAAGTGACTCTGCCTTATTAAATTTTGTACCAGAAATATCAAGCACAATGCCTGGCATATGGTACTTAGGGAATGTTTCCTAATGAGAAAACTTGTGCTTCTTATTTTATGTTAGTTGCTTCTGCCCCTAGAAATTGAAAAAAAAGCTGTAGAAATGCAGTTTTGAGAGCAGAGGAAATAAAGGACTCAGAGGAAAAGAATTATATTACTAATGATTTCTATTGTATTTCTTGCAAGATGAGTGTGGTGGTTCATGCCTGTAACCCCAGCATTCAGGAGGCTTAGGCAGGTCAGTTGTGAGTTCAAGGCCATCTTGGTGACATAGTAAGACCCTGTCTCAATTTAAAAAGTAAGATAAAATAGAATCTTCTTTATTCCAAGAATAATATTCAAAAGACATCATTCACTATCAAGTGCCTTGTTTGCACTATAATGCGTCATTTTTGGGGAGAGTGAGGTGGATAGGAGGAAAGTGTTCAGAGTTAAAAGACAATTCCAGCCACAGGAGGCATCTATAAAGGTTCAGAAATTAGATGACAAATTATTTGAGATTATGGCTGGGTCAGAAACAACAAAATCTTGGGACGTAGGAGTGGGAAGACCACTTTAGCAGAGGTAGATAGTGAGACCCTATATAGCATGTTACGAAGTTGTACATTAAACTGGGGTAATGGGGAGCCATTATTGGAAGGTGCTCAGCAAGCAGAGAGGTTGTGAGTTCAGATTTGCGTTTTAGGAAAGTCATTATTGTTTAAGCCCCCAAGTTTATGGCAATTAGTTGTGTCAGCCTGAACTGACTAATACTGTGCTCAATATTTTTTTGTTATGGAGTACAAATCTGGTTTGGTGGGCTTTTTTTTTTTTCCTGCAGTAGTGGGAATTGAACTCAGAGACTTGGGAATAATAGGAAAGAGCTCTACCCCATCCCTGAAAAATCACTTTAATTATGATTTAGTTAGTTGATGTTTCAAGACTGACAAAGCTTTTTTTTTTTTTTTTTTGAGACAGGGTCTCACTATACATGTAGCACATGCTGCCCTTGAATTTGAGATTTTTCTGTCTCAGCCTCCTTAGTGCTGTGATTGCAGACACACACCTCAACACCTGACTAAAAAAAGCCATTTATAAAATCATTTGTTATGGTATTTTAGTCCTATTATAATAGTAATATGAATAGTGATAATAGCCATTATCTAGAGAGTACTTGGTATGAAATCCCATCTCTGAGTAAAATGAATTCTTTCAGGGCAGGAACCCAGTTTTACTCATTGTTGTACCCTAGCAATATAGTGCTTTGAACACAGAAGATATTCAATTAACATTTGTGAACATGATTTAACTATTAACCAAAATTTTATTTTAAAATCTTTTTTTTCTAGGAGAAGCATGAATCAGAAGCTACTGAAGCTGGAAAACTTGATACAATTTCACACTGTTTGTAGGCAGCTGCACAGTCTGGGTCAAAGAAGAATGTTAGCACAGTGGAGGCATGGATTTTCATCTTACCCAGTGTGGACAACTCAGCTGTATGCCCGGCCCTGGCAGACAGACATGCTCATTGGCACGGGTTTATCTCAATGTAGACTTCTAGTCACAAAGAAGGTTGTTAGAAATTTCTATCGTAGATTGTGTTATTTGCTCTGAGATCAAAGTGCCTGTAACCATGAGTAGAAATATATATTGAGTATTTTGTCATTTAAAGAAACTTTATTAATGCTGTTCTCTAGACAATAGATGTTTGTGAGGAAGGAAGGTTCTGGTTAACTGATGAATTTGATTACTTGAAGATCAATATTAAAAAGTGGACTGAAGGTGCAGTATTTTTAATTTTCGTTCAAGGTTTAAGTACTTATGGGACTGTTTATTGGTAGAGGTAGCCATGATAGTGGTAGATAGTCCAGAATAAATCTATATTGTCACTTAAATTTTTTTCTTCTTATTTATATGTTCTGTCTTTTTAATAGGAAAAAAAGTCATGGAAATTTCAGTTACCCGCAACAAAATCTAAAAAGGAGGTAGAAGTATGGATTGGAATAACTGTTGAAGAACTAGCCAGAGCAATGAAAAAAGACATAGGTGAGCTAGTACTCTTAAGATTTTGCTTCAGTAAAAGTAGAGCTGGGTATATGGTGCATACCTGAAACCCCAGCTACTTGGAAGGCAGAGGCAGGAGGATCAAGAGTTTGAAGCCAGCTTGAGCAAAGTTAGCCAGACCCTATCTTAAAATACAAAACAAAAGGGTTAGGGGGTATGGCTCAAATTGTAGAGCACTTGCTTTGCAAGCACAGGGTCCTGAGTTTAATCCCTACTAATACACACACAGAAAGTGGAAAAATTGGATGAAACTTTCTTTTTCTGGGGCTGTTAGAGTAGGTCCAAACAATGTTTTTTTTACTGAGAGACTATCTTTTACTCTTTTACTTTCTCTGTCTTTTATTCTAATTTTCCGATTTCCCCTTTTCACTATTTTGACAATATCTATAAGGTCAGCAAAGTAATATTTTCCATAGTAACTATAGTGTGCTTTGTAATAATAGCTACAAATTTTAATAAAACAATATGTGAGTATATTCTTTTTCCAGTGCTAGAGATTGATGCCAGGCTTTTGCACACACAAGGGCACCTATTTTTAAAAATTAAATCATAAACAAAGGTTAAAACTCATCAAAACTCCTTACTCATAATTTTTACCTCTCTTTTATTAGTTACTACTTTAACTGCCTTGAGGTTATTTGTGCCTGTAGTATCTATGCAGTAGAAATGCAATATAATAGTGTGCTGCTGTGTAGTTCTTCCCATTTGCATGCCTCCACTTTATGTTGGTAACTTGAAATCACCCTTGGTTGATGTATTTCCACCTTGAAAATTGGAAAATGTTTTAAATCATGGACTTATTTTTTTCTAACCTCCGTAGTAAACATTTACCAGCACACCACTAAATTGGATTTTCTTTTTGTTGTTGTTTTGCTTTATTTTTGAGATAGAGTCTCACTGTGTAGCCCACACTGTGCAGCAAGCCTGAACTTGCTATGTAGCCTCGGCTGGCCTCTTAACTCACGATTTTTGTGCCTCAGCCTCCTAAATGCTAGGATTACCTCCTAAATGCTAGGATTACACATGTCAAGCTTCGGTGTTCTTTTAGAATAATGTTCTGTTTACTTGAGGGTGCCTTTCTTTTATATTTATTTTTTAAATATATATTTATAGAATGATTGAAGATCTGGAAACATAAAACTATTTATTTAAAAAAAAAAACTATTTCATCATCACAGAAACAATGATTTATTATCTATGGGGGAAATATCACAGATTAAACCAAAGCACATTAAGCTAATGAAAAAGAGATTAAATATTTTTCCTATATTTCAAGAATTTTTGGAAACCCTAAATAAATACATAAATAACAAATAAATAAATTGTGGGCATGTGTATTCAGAAGTATATACTCTGTGTGTGTGTGTGTGTGTGTGTGCGTGTGTGTGTGTGTGTGTGTATGTACAGGCAGTCTTCATTTTTCATGGCTTCTGTATTTGCAAATTTGTCTACTGACTAAAATGTATATTAGCTATAAAACAATGTAGTTCAAAAATCAGTGTAGCTCATAAATCAATATTCAGAGCACTTCTGTATTTGTTCTTAGACATGCTCAAAACAGTGAAAAATTTGAGTTGCCCCATGTGTATGTTTCCATCTGAGATTGAATAAGATGTGTTCTGCATTCTTGTTTCCTCTCCCATACTGGAAACATACATCCTCTTTATGGTCTGTTTAGTGCCCTGCTTTTCAAATGTGTGTACTTTTCATTAGTGATTTCACTATTTAAAATTGCCCTGCGCTAGGTGCCAGTGGCTTACATCTGTAATCCTAGCTATTTGGAAAGCTAGATTGAGAGGATCGAGGTTAAAGGCCAGCCTGGGCAAATAGTTCAAGAGACCCCCATATCCAAAATAAAAACAGTAGAATGGACTGGAGGTGTGGCTCAAGCAATAGAACACCTGCTTTGCAAGTACAAAGCCCTGAGTTCAAACCCTAGTACCACCAAAGATTAGATAAATAAAATGACCCCTAAGTATAATACTGAAGTGTAACAGCATAAGAAGACTGTGATGTGCCTTAAATAGAAAATGTATTAAATGAGCAAAAGTGTCTTTGATAGAAACACATAAAACAAGATTATGTATGAGTCAGTTGATGAAAAATTGTGACTGGAGCCTTGAAAGAATCTATCCCTGTCTCCTAAGAGCAGTGGTTCAGTATTTGCAGCAACTCCATCGAATATAACTGTTGCAAATATCAAGAATTGACTATATATATATTGTATATACACATTTTTATTTGCGTAACATACAAGACTACAAGTTTTCAAAGAAATAGACTGTGATCAATGACAATACTAAATGTATACAAAGTAGCTTAATGTCTTATTGTTGGTGCAGATGGTTCAGAAGGTACATATATATTCAAGCACTTATGGATATACAAAAATGTCAGTTAAGATGATTGCATCCCATTTTAAAGGATTACAAAATTTTATCTTCTTTGTGATTTGTTAACCTACACAGTTTGTATACTTATACTGAGTGTACTGTTTATATAAACTTTTTTCCTTTTTCCTTTTGGCAGTTCTGGCATTTGAATTTAGGATTGACCTGCCACTTGCTAGGCGTACGCTCTACCACTTGAGCCATGTCTCCAGCTTCTATAGATTTTTATTAATAGAGATCACTTTTTCGCCAGGTGCCAGTGGCTCACAGCTGTAATCCTAGCTACTCAGGAGGCAGAGATCAGGAGGATCACAGTTCAAGCCAACCTGGACAAATAGTTCATAAAACCCTACCTTGAAAAAACATTCACAAAAATAGGGCTGGTGGAGTGGCTCAAGGTGAAGGCCCTGAGTTCAAGCCCCAGTACCACAAAAAAAAAAAATCACTTTCTTAAGCATTTAATTCATGATCCTAAAAGTTTTTGTTTTATTCCAATCAGATTGTGTATATGAAGCTTTATTAAACACTGCTATTGACATAGATTCACTAGAAGCAGACTCACGTTTAGATGAAGTCTGGATCAAAGAAGTGATAAAGAAGTCAGGGATGAAGTTGAAATGGAGCAAGTTAAAACAGGACAAAGTCAAAGAAAATAAAGATGCTATAAGAAGGTAAAACTTTACTATGTATTGGGGGAGAGAGGCCATATAGTTTTACTCAAGCATATTAATGGGAATATTTGCCTTAAAATTTCTTTTATGACTAAAATGCTATGTGAATAGAGGACAAACTTTTATTCAAAGTGTTTAAAGCATCAGAATTTATATTCAGCTAATTATAAAACTAAGGGTTATTTTTCATAGTTTGCTGAATGTATATGTAAATCTAAATTTTAAAATTTGATTCAGTTCTGCCCACTGTTGTGAAGATGCCAACTTCATAATAGGTAGGTAGTCACTAAATACTCTGTCATAGGTCATTATTTTTTTAAAAGGGGAAGAGTTATGTCTATTCAAACTCGAATGTTGGATTTTATTGTTAGTGGTAGCTTGCAGAAATTATTGCAGGTTATAAAGTGTTTCTGATATTTAAGAAATGAAACTCCTTTGCTGTTAATTGTAGACCCCCAGCAGATCCAGCGTTATTAACCCCAAGGTCCCCAGTTGTTACTATAATGGGCCATGTTGACCATGGGAAAACGACATTACTTGATAAACTTCGAAAAACTCAAGTGGCAGCAATGGAAGCTGGAGGCATCACTCAGCACATTGGTGCCTTTCTTGGTATGAATGCAAGTTAACTTACAATGTACTTGGGAACCCCCATTTTTATTTTCTTTAACCAAATTTATTTTCTTTAACCAAATGTCATGATATGAAATACACAGATTCAAAGTAAAATGGAAGGCTAATCTTAAAGCCATGGGAATGATGAAATGCAGAGCAGGTGATTAAAAGTTATTTTGTGCTTTCTATAAGAAATTTATGTTGCTATTTTTATTATTGCTCATTTGTAGTTTGATTTAATGAGACTAAGATATTTACTTAATTCAGTTTATGTAAACGCCAGTGATAAGTTAGATAATGATAATGATAATTAATTAAGTAGTAGCTACTATTTACTGAGCACAGTGCTAAGCAATTTTTTTTTTTTTTGTGGTACTGGGGCTTGAACTCATAGCCTACACCTTGAGCCACTCCGCCAGCCCTTTTTTGTGAAGGGTTTTTTAGAAATAGGGTCTTGAGAACTCTTTTCCTGGGCTGGCTTTGAACCACGATCCTCCTGATCTTGCCTCCAGAATAGGTAGGATTACAGGTGTGAGACACTGGCATCCCACGCTAAACATCTTACGTGCTCCATCTTTTTTGTTTGCACAATAACATTAGGTAGGAATTGATATTTCTGTTATGGACAAGGAGGCTGAGACTTCTTCATGTTAAGTAACTTGCCCAAAGTACATAGGTAGTAAGTGGCAAAGCCAGGATTTCAATCCAAGGTTGTTGGGCTCAAATCTTGTCCTACTAAATGTATACTAAATTGTTTTTCTGTGGCTTACGGCAGTTGTATAGCTGCAGTCTGCCAATGTAGAGGTGACTGTCCATCCAGCTATTTGTTTTCTCCAGAATGGTTATCAATTGGCACATTTATGAAAGTAACTATATTCTAGAACTATGTAGAGTTTTAGTTGAAAATTATTACATGAAAATCTTGAAGGTCTCACCAGTTTTTTTTTTCCACTGTTAATTTATGTTTTCATTGTGAAATTTCATCTGTATTGTTCTGATTAATATTAATGGGAGGTATGGTGGTGCATGCCTATAATCTTACCTGCTCAGGAGGCAGAGGTAGGATGATTGTGGTCTGAGGCTGGCCTGGGCAAAAGCAGAAGACCCTATCTGAAAAATAAACTAAAAGCAAAAGAAAGAACTAGGGGCATAGCTCAAGTGTTAGAACACTTGCCTAGCAAGCTTGAGATACTGAGTTCAATCCCCAGTATCAATAATAATAACAAATAATAGAATTTTAAAGAATTATTGATTGTGTTTGATGATGTCATATATTCCTTCACATTACAGAGGTATGTATTGGACACCTTCGTGTTCTTAAATTTCTGTTTCCACAGTTTCTCTGCCTTCTGGGGAAAAGATAACCTTTCTTGATACTCCAGGACATGCTGCCTTCTCAGCAATGAGAGCCAGAGGTGCTCAGGTTACTGACATTGTCGTGCTGGTTGTGGCTGCAGATGATGGGGTGATGAAACAAACTGTAGAATCTATTCAGCATGCCAAAGATGCTCAAGGTATTGTGGATAACTTACAGGGATCAGAGAGGAAGATTTTCTTTTTTACTTCTTAATGATCTACCATCTAATTGTAATACTGGAGCCATTTACTTGTAGCTCATTTAATCTTCACAGCACTCCCAGAATTGTTATGCCTATTTTACAGATAAGCTTCAAAGATAGTTAAGTTGCTTTTCCACAGATATAATTAAAAGGAAGAGGATAGCAGGATTCAACTTGGAACCTGTGATGACAAATAAAATCTTTCTTCTATTATGTTTTTTTTTTTTTGCCATTTTGGGACTAGAACCCAGGGCCTTGCAAGCATGCTAGGCAAGTGTTATAACACTGAACTATATCCCCAGCCCTGTATTTTTTGGGCAGTACTGGGGTTTGAACTCAAGGGCTTCATACTTTCTAGACAGGCATTCCACTGCTTGAGCCAGCCCTACCATGCCTTTTTTTTTTTTTTAATTAAACTTTTAACATGGAAAACTTAAAAAATAAAATTCAGTAGGAATTGCATAGTGGTAATATTCTGTTATTCCTTGTTCATTTATTTGAAATTCTCTATAGAGAAACTTTCCCTTCATCTGCTTTAAATAAGTTCTTATTAGAAAATCACTTGGTTATCTTCTCCCTTATGTCTTCATTTAAAAATTGTAGTAAGAGCCAGGTGTAGTGGTACACACCTATAATTCCAGCACTAGGAGGTGGAGGCAGAAGGATGGGAAGTTCAAGGCCAGCCCGAATAGTGAATTCCAGGTCAGCCTGAGGTATATAGCAAGACCTTGTCTTAAAAAATACTTTATAATAAGAAATAACACATATACATCCTATGTATTAGTTCTTTTTTTTTTAACACATTGTTTTTATTTACTTATTTATTTTGTGGTGCTGAGGTTTGAACTCAGGGCTTCACACTTGCTAGGCAGGTACTCTACCACTTGAGCCACATCCCAAACTATATTCTTTCTGATTCTGATATGGTGCTATACCTGTCCCCACAGAAAAAATGTGATAAGCATGTCACATTCTCCCCAGGTTTGTTGGCAAGACCACAAAGAAGTTGAGAATTACTGATCCAGCTATTTCTTTCATCTTCCAACATGAAAACTGAGACCCAGACAATAGCCAGAACTCCCCTCCCCCAATTATATACAATTACACAGCTGATTTGCAACTTGTTTGTATTTGAAATGTGAATCTTCTAGTGTCCAGTATTACTTTCTTCCCTTTTTATTTCCTCAAAACTACCTTTGTGTATTACACTGGGCTCTTAATGATTCTAGACAATAAATGGCAAAAGGAAGGGAGTGTTAAATTGGCCAGGAATCCCATAATAAAGCAGTTTGTTGAGATGAGATAAAGGCATGATATCATGCTGTCTTTGTCTCTTCTTTTGGTCCCTGTTAAGTTCAAGTTCACAAAAATAGAATGTACTTTTTCAGAATAATAGGTTGTAGGTTGCATAATTTTTTGTGACTTTTTCAATTTCTGTTCCTTTGAGGAAATTATAGAAATAGTGAAAATCAACTAGAATTATATCCTAGAATTTTGTCTTATATCTAATGAGAATATGTTTAGTAATGACAAGTTATAAGATTCTTTGGTTCATTCATTAAGTATGTATTTATTGAGCGCCTACTATGTGTTGGTCACTGAATTAGGTCATTGAATAAAGAGTTGCTGTAAATCCTAAAAGAAAAATTTGCATTAGTGATACCTTAGTTCATCTCAGAATGAAATGTTCAGTTTTTTGTTCTTGTTTTTGTTTTTTTTGTGGTACTGAGGCTTGAGATCAGGCTCTACACTTTGAGCCACTCTACCAGCCCTTTTTAATGATGTTTTTTTTTTTGGGATAGGGTCTCACAAACTGTTTGCCCAGGCTGGCTTCAAACTGTAGTCCTCCTGATCTCTGCCTCCTGAGTAGCTAAGATTACAGGTATGAGCCACTGGCGCCCGCCAAGATGTTCAGTTTTGGCTGTGAATTAATAAAGCCTGAAAGAAGAGGCAACTAATCTGATGGTATTTGAATCACACTTTCCTCTTGAGTTTTTTCCTGGAGATTATCACCAGTGTAGTTACCAATTTCACTTTTAAATTTAAGGATTGGCCTTTCTTTACCAAAAATATTAGACTTTGTTTGTTTTTGTTTTTTGATCATCACAAGTGTCTGTTCTTAGTTCAGAATCTGCTTATAATTTCAGTTTTTGTATCTCATAAATGGATTCCTTCTTTATGTGTAGCTAGTAAAGTAGGGAAGTATGTCTGAAGTAGGTCTCTCAGATCTTTTGTTAAATAAGTACATCCACTGAATAAAGAGAAAGCCAGATGAGGCTGGTGTGTCTCATTGTGGATACCTGGAATTGAAGGTGTTCTCATTTATACACTTCTTAACTTTTTCTCTTTTAGTTCCTATTGTCCTTGCAATAAACAAATGTGACAAACCTGATGCCGACCCTGAAAAAGTGAAAAAGGAGCTTCTGGCTTATGATGTGGTGTGTGAAGATTATGGAGGTGATGTTCAAGCAGTGCATGTCTCTGCACTTATGGTAAATGCACCTCAGAGACAAATGTGCTTGGATGTGAGGGCTGTGCATCATGTACACAGTGTATTATACCTAAAGAAAATTTTGGTGTACATAATTTGTGGGGTTTTTTGTTTTATTTTGTTTTGTTTTTTTGGCAGCACTGGGATTTGAATTCAGGGCCTTGGACTTGCCTAGGCAGGCGTGCTTCTGCTTGAGACACTCTGCTAGCCCATTTGTGGTGTTTTTTTAAAAAATTGAGTACTAAGCAAAGCTGGCATTATTATTCTCCTGATCTGACAGGTTAGGAATCAGGCCCAGAGAGAGTGGTTTCTAATTCATAGAGGTACAGCTGATGGGTGGGATTGTTCTAAACCTGACACTTTTAACTAGGAGATACTTAGAATGAGGATAATGAATACTGAATGATGGGGGAATAGGGTAACAGGAGAAATGAAATTCAGTTAGTAAGAAAAATTGCTTGTATTTCAATGCCTTTTGTAAGTAGAACACTATAGAATAGGACTCGGGCTTTTTTCTTCTTCTTTTTTTTGTGGTATGGGAGTTTGAACTCAGGGCCTCACACTTGGTAGACAGGCATCTACCACTTGAGCCAGCCACCTTAGGGCATTTAAGAAAGATTTATTTAGTCAGGCACCTGTGGCTCATGCCTGTAATCCTAGCTACTCAGGAGGCAAAGATCAGGAGGATCACAGTTCAAAGCCAGCCTGGGCAAATATTTCTGCGAGACCCTGTCTTGAAAAAACCTATCACAAAAAAGGGCTGGTGGAGTGGCTCAAGGTGTAGGCCCTGAGTTCAAGTTGCAATACTGCAAAAAACAGATTTACTTAAATAAATAAAAATTTCACTAATACAAAGATTAACTATTCATGTTGCTTTTATTATTGATTAGTATTGTCTGAATGTTTGTATGGATAAAAATGTTATAAATTTTAAAATGATATTTATGGCAAATTCCATTTTCTTTAAAATTGCAAATTATTTTTTTCTTGAATGAAATACACAATGAAGCTCATAATTTGCCTTGTATCAGCATATTCTAATTCTGTTATCCTATAGAGGTGGCTGCTGTATACTGATTTCCTTTTTGTCCATTCTGGCCATATTCCACAATTTACTTATAGTACAGACTTTTTTCTCCGTGAACATTCACTGAAGGAATTTCATTTCATCTTTAATTTTCTTAAATTTGTTACCTCCCAAATGCTTATAAGTTATGCTTCAATTAATAGCAAAAGTATGCCTCTTTTCCTATGAAATTTATAAAATGCAACCTTATTTTTCCACTGTACCTCAGTTGTTAATGTACTCTGGCAAGCTTAATACAATAAGATTAAAATATTTGAAGACTTCGCTGGATATGGTGGTACATACCTGTAATTGCAGCTACTTGGCAGGCTCAGGCAGGATGATCACAAGTTCAAGGCCAGCCTTGACAATTTAGCAAGATTCTGTCTTAAAATAAAACAGAATTAAAGATGGCAGAGGATGTAGCTCAGTGGTAGAGTATTTCATATGTGAAGCCCTAGTCTTCCCCCCAAAAAAAAAAAAGAAAGGGAAGGTGAGAGAAGAAGGGAGGTAGGGATGGAGAGGTAGAAAGAGGGGGGTGAGTAAATAGAGGGTTAGAGCCAGGGAGTGAGAGAAGAAAGAAAAGAAAAAGAAAAATATTTGAACACTTGACCACCTTCTTTCTCAGTTGCCACCAGATTAGGTAGATGTAAAGCTGTTGAGGCAAATTTAGGGGTATAGCAGAGATAATGCATAGGGGATTTAGGGAATTGCAAAAGAGTGGTAGGGAAGTAGGATGAGGTCTTCTTTTACAAGATGTAGGGGACTACTTCATGTAAAAAAACAAGCTGGTGGTTTGTCTGCTTAGGACACAGACATCAGGAGGATCACGGTTCAAAGCCAGCCCAAATAGTTCAAGAGACCCTATCTTGAAAACATCCAATACAAAACAAGGCTAGAGCAGTGGCTCAAGTGGTAGAGCGCCTACCTACCAAGTGTGAGGCCCTGACGTCAAACCCCAGTACCACCAAAAAAAAAAAAGAAAGAAACAAGCTCTGCTTTTTGTAGCATCATTCTATATATTAGAATGAGTATTAGGAATAAGCCAGTGGGAAAGCTACTTTTTTCCTATAGTTGTCTGTTCTTTTTATTTTTTTGTCTTTCTCATCAGTCTGTTCTTTTATACTTGGATAACTATGAGCAGTCTCTTAGCTGAGGCAAAAAATGGAAAAATCTCTTGCCCATCAATTCCAGTTTTATCATCAGTTATTCAGATGTGCTCCTACAGAGCATAATAAAGGTAAAAGATAATCCAATCTAACTTCTTCCTTTTATGATTAAGGAAGGGAGATACAGGGAGGCAAAGTGAGTTTTTCAAGACTGGGTGGTTGTAGAGTATGGCTTAGAGTCTGGGTCTAGTCTGTACCTTTTCTTACTATTTATAAGAAAAAGTAATGCTTGATTTATAGGATTCTTGTGTGGATCAAATGAAATAAAAGATATGAAGGCTTATTCAACTGGATAAAACTTGAAATAAAAGTAGCATCAATAGGAAAGTTAGGCAGTTGAGGAGACAGACTGGATGAAGAAAGTGTTTGTGAAAGAAGCACCACCAGTGGCTAACCTAAGGAAAAAAAAAGACGCTCGTCCTTTGCAAGCTCTGTTCCTGGGTCAAACTCTTCCATTGATCCCTCCCTTCATCCTTCTTTCTCTCTTTCTTTCTTCTCTCCTTTTTTTAAATTGGGTAATTCAAGTTTTTAATGCCTAAAAAGTATAACCGTCAAGGATTATTTGGCTTTCTAATCCTGATATTTTCAGGTAATATTTTTTAATGTGTATTAATCTTTTTGTTGTTAAAGGGTGATAATCTGATGGCTTTGGCAGAAGCAACAATTGCTCTTGCAGAAATGTTAGAATTGAAAGCAGATCCCACTGGTCCTGTGGAAGGAACAGTAATAGAGTCATTCACAGACAAAGGAAGAGGGTAGGACGATGCTAAAATGCTTCTTTTTAATAATTTTGTTTCATGACTTTTGTGACTAACTTGATTATATAACAGAATACTGTTTATATTGCATGTCATTAGTTCATGAGCAATATTTTCAAAGCATTTGTTTTGAGAAGTATTTTATCCTATTAGCACAGAGAACACAAAAATGCACTTATTGTCAATAGACCATAGCAACTATTTGTGTATGTTTAGTCATACTTAGATGACTTAAGTATTTCAGTTTGTTGTTTTTCCACAGGCTGAATTGTTAAAGCCTCATAGACTAACATAAATTGGAAGTAAAATATTGTCGCATTTCAGGGTTTCTAAATTCTTTATGGCTTTATCCATTAATTTATTCAAAAGTCTTTGAACTAGTGTGTTCTTCTTGAATATCCTTGCCAATATTAGTAAGAAAGGTTTTCTCACTAAAGGTTTGCTTTATAAGCTGTAACAACTGAGCCATCTCTTTGCTGACATGGACAATAAAATAGAAAGTAGATTAGGATTGTGTCAGAACACAATCTTAGCATAACCTTACAAAAAAATGTTTTTTGTTTATTGTTATTCGGTGGTTTTTGAAACATGCAACATTAAATGTACCATGTTAACCATTTTTAAGTCTACAGTTTAGTAGTGTTAAGTATGCTTACATTGTTGTACAGTAGATCTCTGGAACTTCTTCATCTTGCAAAACCAAAACTGTTTACCCATTAAACACTAATTTCCTCGACATTCTCTCCCCAGTCCTTGGCAGTCACCTTTCTATTTTTTGTTTTTATAATTTTAACTACTTTAGATACTGGAGTCATATTGGATTTATCCTTTCATGACTGGCTTATTTCATTTAGCATAATGTCATAGAGGGTCATCCATGTAAAATACAGTATTTCCTTTTTCTCAAGGGCTACATAATATTGCCCTGATCTCCCATTTTCTTTGGACAGAATGTCCATTTATCTGTTGACAGACATTTTGGTTGCTTCTACATCTTGACTATGGTGAAGAATGGGTTTTTTTTTGGTTGTTGGTGGTTTTTTTTGTTTTGTTTTGTTTAAGTGGGGCTGGCCAGGCATGGTTATATACACAGTCCTAGTCCTTTGATGGTTGAGCCAGAAGGATGAGAATTTGAGGCCAGTCTAGACTACCATAGCTAGACCTTGTCTCAAAACTGCACCAAACAAACAAAAAACCTTGGAGCCTTGCACATGCTAGACAAGCATTCTATCACTCAGCTACATCCCAAGACCAAGAAATGTTTTTTTATAGCATCAAAAACTGCTTGAGAACTTGAGAAGGGAATTACTCTTGTGTACACATAAATTTATATGTATTTAAACCTCATAAACATCTCTTTTCTTAAGAAAGCATAGTTACATTCTGACTGTGACAATAAAGCATGTTTACTTTCATATTCATTTTAGTCCTGTTACAACAGCTATAATTCAAAGAGGAACTTTGAGAAAAGGCTCAATTCTGGTTGCTGGAAAGAGTTGGGCAAAAGTACGTGCAATGTTTGATGAGCATGGAAAAACAATCAGTGAGGCCTATCCCAGCATGCCAGTGGGAATTATAGGCTGGAGAGACCTTCCTTCTGCAGGAGATGAAATTCTTGAAGTAGAATCTGAGGTATATCAAGCTTAATTCTTGTATATTAACTATGACATAATTGTTTTAAATATCAGTAGTCTGTACTGTTACATCATATAAGTGTGTTAATGATAGCAAATAATTCTAACTTATAAGGAGCCATGTGGGGGCCAGTCGTGCCATTTTAGAATTTGACCACAGTATTATTTTTTTTAATTTGAGATAAAACTTGTAAATTAAATAATATCAATAACTTATGAATTTGGTGTTTTTATTCATGAGTTAAACCCCTTTCATAATGAGAACACAAAGCATTTAGCCTAGCAGGCATTGGTGTCTAATTTATTAAATAATGCCAGTTTTACCCTGTGAAGCCAAGGGCACGTGAAGTTATTGACTGGAGGAAGTTTGAGCAAGAACTGGAGAAAAACAAAGATGATCTGAAAATAATAGAAGAAAAGCGAAAGGAACATCAAGAAGCGCATCAGAAAGCCCGGGAGCAGTATGGCACTTTGAACTGGAAAGAGAGGTCATTTAAAAAGTACCTGGAAAGAAAAGAACAAAGACCCTTAAAGGCAAAAAAGAAAGCAGAAGGAGACTCAAATGTACTCCCTATAATTATTAAAGGTGCCTTTTTGAAGATTTTACTTTACAACTCCTTTTTAAATATATATATTTTTTCTTTTTTAATTAATTTTTTTCCTTTGTTGTTGTGATGGGTGGGGGTACATTGTGGCATTTACAGAGGCTCTAACAATGTATCAGATATGTCATATATGAATTCACCTCCTCAGCCATTCATCTTCATCTCCCCTCCCCTGATCCCTGGAATAGTTTCAACAGATACCATTTTTGCATTTACTTACATGTGTATACATTTTATTGCACCATATTTATCCTCCTGTCGCCTTTCCCCAATACCTCCCTCCTCCCATTGATGCTATCCCTCCCCTTTGGGCAAAATCTTTATTTTCACAATTAATTTGAACCCTTATTTTTTGTTGTTGTTGAACCAGGGTCTTGCTATGTATCCCAGACTAGCCTTGGTTATGATACTTCTTCCTCAGCTTCCCCAGTGCTGCAATTATGATGTGCACTGCCACGTCCCAGCAGACCCTGAAATTTCAGTATTTGAGAGGCATTTTTCTGGGTACATACACACACACACACAGATATATCTATATATCTATACAGATATATAGATATATAGATATCTGAGGGTTTTTTTGTTTATTTTTCGGTACTGGGGCTTGAACTCGGCCTACACCTTGAGCCACTCCATCAGCCCTTTTTTATGATGGCTTTTTTCAAGATAGGGACTCAGGAACTGGACTGGCTTTGAACCGTGATCCTCCTGATCTCTGTCTCCTGAGTAGCTAGGATTACAGGCATGAGCCACCACCTGGCTGTTTCTTGATGATTTTGTTCTAAGTATACAGTTAGTACATTATACTTTATTAATAGATATTTATAATGCTAAATCTAAATAAAAGTGGCTGCAGTGGTAAATGCCATTCCTGCCATTGCTTTAAATAGATTAATGTCATTTTTGTATCTTTCAGTGCCTGACTGGTACCACCACCAATTTTAAACTTTTCTGTATTTAGGTGATGTTGATGGTTCTGTTGAGGCCATTTTGAACATCATGGATACCTATGATGCTTCACACGAGTGTGAACTAGAATTAGTGCATTTTGGAGTGGGTGACATCAGTGAAAATGATGTTAACTTTGCTGAAACGTTTGATGGTAAGGATCCTATATCCTATGTGTTTAAAACTGTGTTTCCTACATCACTTTGTGAACTATTTACTTCTGTCTTCTGTAGTGAGGCTTGTCACACCTAACATTCCCATGGCATCACCCTTCCTGCTATAGTCCATTCCCAGCTAGCAGTTGAAGCTGAACAGGATGTGCAATATTGCAGCTATTGCTCCATTTGCCATGGATTTTCTGCAACTTTGGGGAACTACTTCAAGACCCAGTGGTGTTTGATTTTTTTCCCCCCTGCCCTTGTACTGGGGTTTGAACTGAAGGCCTAGAGCTTGCTAGGCAGACACTTTACCATATGAGCAGTGTCCCTCAGCCCATGTTTGATTTTTTTAATTATTATTATTTAAAGCATCATTACTGCTTCCTTTCCCTAGTTTCCCACCCTGCCCAAGGTTGCTGCTTTTAGACTTTTGAGTGTTCCTATCACTGTTATCAGCCTATTCAGTACTTCTCTTCATCTTTTAACTTTTAGCTTCCTATTTTTGTTACTTGATAACTTTATAAACTATATCTTTGTAGATCAGAAGATTGTTTTAGCTTTATACGCCTAGAAGGTTGGGGATTGTCGTTATTAGTTGAACTTACAGTACACAGAAAGGGTACTTCTGTTACTAACTTGATCAACACCTAGTAAAGCACCAACATTGTTGATTGATGAATCATTTAGAAAGGAGGTAATTTAAAATCCGACTAGATTAGAATTTGATGTCATCTCTACTACTGAACAGGTATTTTCAGTAATGCTGATTAATTCAAAGTATTTGTTAGGCACTAGCTAACCAGCACAGTGTACTGAAGATTTTTTTTTTTTTTTGCAGTGTTGGGGGTTCAGCTCTGTCTTGTGTTTGTTGTGTAAGCACTCTGCCATTTGAGGCATGTCCTAGCTGTCCCTCCAGACACCTGTTTTTTGTTTTTGCTTTAGTTTTTCAGGTAATGATCTGGCATTTTTGTGTGGGGGCCAGACTCAGACTATATCCCTTCTACCTGTGGCCTCTTTGGTAGCTGTGATAACAGGTGTGTAGCACCACACCCATCTTATTGCCTGATACAGGGTCTTGCTAACTTTTTTACCCAGGCTGGCCCTGAGTCTTGATCCTCCTGATTTCTACTTCCCACGTAGCTGGAATTACAGGAGAGAGCCACTGTACTCAGCTTGAAGGATTTCTTAGTAAGATTTTTGAGGTTCTTGTGTTTTACTTAACTTTTTTTCACTCATTCATTTTGTTTAAAGGCAAGAGTATTTTCTTTTGCTTCTTTTTCTCCCAAAGCATTTGCAGTTAAATACACTGGGTCTTTTTTTTGGTAAAATGGTCAGTTCCATGAAAGTTCTTTTGCTTCTTAAAATAACTTGAACTTTGCCACTTAAGTTACTATTTTTGAATCTTTTGGATAGGTAAGTATAAATCACAAAAATCGTAGGCCAATAAATTATAATAATAGAATTGTCATTAAAACAAAACAGTATTTCAGCCTTAATCATTTTTTGTTTTATTTCCCTGGTATAAAAGTCAAAGCTTTATTTAGCACACTGCCTTACACAGTTTGAGCACTAAAGAAAATTTTCTTGTTAAACAAGATATAATTTGTAAAATTTCTTCAGTTATTTGAAAATTTACTAGTTTTCATAGGAAAAAAAAACACAGAATTTCTCTTCTCCCCAGTTGTTGTTGCTATTTAATTTATATGGAAGAAAATAATTTAGAATTGAGTTTCTGCTTAAAAGACAAATTACTGTAATGTAATTATTTGTGTTACTATAGTGATTATGCTTCTGTTTGCCAGGTATTATATATGGTTTTAATGTGAATGCAAGCAATGTTATCCAGCAGTCAGCTGCAAGAAAAAGAGTAAAAATTAAACTTCACAAAATTATTTACCGTCTTATTGAAGATTTGCAGGAGGAACTGAGCAGTAGATTGCCCTGCCTTGTGGAAGAACAACCAATAGGTGAGTGTTGAGTGAATATTACTGTTCAACATTTATATCTTAGATGCTTATGAGTAACACCTGAAAGCAAAATTCAGGGGAAATATATTCACTGTTCCAATACATATCTTATGTTCTAGAATAAGTGACTACCATGAGAATTCATGTAACTTATACACGTGCTCTGTACAACACACTTTACTTAAGCCCAGAATATACAAAGGCAAATAAGGCAACTAAGAACTTGCCCTCAACCTTAGACATGAGCAATTATGGTAATACAAATTTGGCTAGGATGGGAAGCATAAAAAATAGTGTCATGGAAGGAGCCACTTTTTGTCCTGGAACTGGCTGAGAAAAATATCATGATAAGAAAATTTACTTTATATTTAAAATTAAATATATTAAAATATTCTTTCTAGCATACCCTTTGGCCAGACTAAAGGCTGAATTTGTTTTAAATTGTGAGGTATTGTGCCCATTTGCCTCTAAAGTACATTTGCTAAACACAAGAATGTTCTCTTGTAAAACCACAGAACAATGATCAAACTAAGGAAGTAACAACTATACATTATTTAATTTATAATCCATATTCAAATTTTGTCTATTAAGCCCATGGTAGGTATACTTTGTTTTTTTCCCCTAGTCTAAAATCACAAGTTACATTGTCAGATCTCTTTAGTCTCATTTAATCTGGAATAGTTCTTCAGTCTGTCTTTTTTGACCTTTACATTTTTGAAGCACATAAGTCAACAACTTTGTATATCTTAATTTTGAGTTTGTCTGATGTTGCTTCAGGATGAAATTTGGTTTTGTATTTTTAGTCCTTGTATATTTAGTTCAGGCTTTTCTGAGCTGCTAAACATGATCATACACAAGTTTGTATGTTCTTATACTAAAAACAGTTAAGAATCCTGAGGGTGTCTAGAAATGAGCATACATACACCCCCAGATAACACTAACAAATAACATTGGTCAGCTAACACCCTCAAAATTGGAAAAACTAAGTCATTGAATTAGTACTGTCCAGTGCATATAAAAACATTTTATGTAATTTAAAAATAAATCAAGTAATGATAAAATGATCTATTCTAGAAAGTATATTGAAGGAAAGCTGAAGACTAGATTTTCATGGAGCAGACGAGAATACTCAAGGATTTTCATCTGATACTGATTAGGAAAAGTTGGTTTAGTCAAAGAAACCCAGACTTCTTTCTGTGAATGAGCTCATATTTTTAATTCTTACACTGCAGAATGTCAGACATTACATACTTCTCAGAATCACTAATTTTCTGTACAATTTATTTTTTCTTCCTAAAGGTGAGGCTTCTATCCTAGCTACCTTCTCTGTAACAGAAGGGAAGAAAAAAATTCCTGTGGCTGGCTGCAGAGTCCAAAAAGGACAGTTAGAAAGACAAAAAAAATTTAAATTAATCCGTAATGGACATGTTATTTGGAAGGGTAAGCATTATCAAAACCTATTTCTCTGTCATATTCAGTCTCCAACCCCTGCTTGTGTAAACATCTGAAATCCATCTCTCACTCACTCACATATTCCTAGCTTAGATTTTTTCTAATTGCTCTGTAGATGGGCTCCATCCCTGTTAGCTCTGGTCTTCCTCTAGGATTATTAGTCCCTCAGTCTTGATTTTTTTTCTAAGCTTTTTAAAAATTGGCCTCAAACTACATTTCCTGTTCTATTTCCTACACTTCTACATTCTATTCCTTTCCTAATTTGATCTTTTGCTAGGCAAGATCCTTTGCTAGGTAAGAGCAGGTACTTACCACTTGACCCACTCAGCCCTTTTTTGTTTGGGTGTTTTTGACAGGGTCTCATGAACTACTTGCCATCAGGCCTTGAACTTCCATCTTCCTGATCTCTGCCTCCTGAGTAGCTAGGATTACAGGCGTGAGCCACCAGCGCCAGGCTGCAATGTCTTTTTTCCACTTGAGTCCTGAGTACAACCCCAAGTCTACAGTCTGATCTTTAAAATAGGTTTAGGATTTTCTGCTGCAAGTTAAAATCTTTGAACTTCTTTTGGACGTCCCTGGTATTTAATATCACTTAACATGAAAAGACTATAAAACTTTTAAGAATTTCAGTGTCATTTTCAACACCAAACTACATAGCATTTATTAAGTACTTATTTGGTGAATATACTTTCTTTTTTCCTTTAAAGGCTCACTGACCTCATTGAAACACCATAAAGACGATGTTTCAGTCATCAAAACTGGGATGGACTGTGGTCTCAGTTTAGATGAAGAAAAAGTAGAATTTAAAGTGGGAGATGAAATTGTTTGTTATGAAGAAAAGGAAATTCTAGCTAAGACTTCTTGGGATCCAGGATTTTAAAATTAAATCAATGTCAATGACTAAATGTAGTTTGTTTTTTTAATATATATATATATATAGTAAAAATATATATAGTAAAAGTTCATTGAGAAAGGAATTTAGGATGAGTGGGGTCAAGTAGGAAAAAAAAATTCTTGCTCCAAAATACAGCTTTATTAAAGACAAAAATTCTCCACTGGGTTAAAAAAAGCTTTTATACCAAGTGTTAATATGCCTTTGAACAAACTGTCAGAAGTGCTATAGAGGGGCTGGAGGAGTGGCTCAAGTGGCAGCCTGAGGGCCTGAGTGCAGACACCAGTACCACCCCCCCTCCACCCCCAGGCCAAATAAAAAGTGCTACAGAACTAGAAAAAATTAGGATACTTCAAACTAGGAATCATGGAATGCAAAGACCAGTAACATACAGACGGGGAATTTTTATTATCATTGAATACTTAAGTTTAATAAACTTTCAAGCATATACTTCAGTTGATACCAGCAAACCAGCCCTCCCTGAATTTAGTTTCATGGGAAAACATGGTACCAAGCAAGAACTGCTTACAACTTTATCTTCCCTCACAAAGATTCAGGGCTGATGGGGTGGCTCAGGCAGCAAGGGCACCTGCCTAGCAAGCATGAGTTCACACCCCAGCAATGCCAAAAGAAAAAACCCCAAACAAGCAAAAAACCACCCCACCTCCCCAAAGATTTCATTCCATGTAAAACATTGTTTAAATTCCTTGAGTGCAACATTGATCAGTAATGTTCCCTTGTATTGCAAACAGCTATTATCTCCCTGAGGGACTCAGGATACATTTTTGACCAGTAGCATTCCCTTGTATTGCAAACAGCTATTTTCTCCCTGAGGGACTCAGGATAATTTTTGAATTGCCAACTTCAACTCAGCTTTTAAGTATTCTGTATATGAGATACATGCCACAGCCTCTTAAGGGAAGATCTTAATGGAGTGGGGAGTGGCCTCTGCTGGCACAATTGGGAGGCACCAGAAATCCTGCTCATCATCCAATAATTCTATGAAGAATTATCTGACTCAAGATGTCTTGGTCCCAGCCAGGAAACTTACAGAAATACAAACTTGCTTCTATTTAGACAGCTGATATTAGATGCCCATCAAAAGTACAGGGTGCTTAAGAGTTTACTATAAAGTGAAACTATCAAGCCCTGTCCAAGCAGGTGGCACTTGGCGGCACATCCAGCACCACTGGGTCAGTCCCCTGATGGCAGTAGCACATCACAGATGTACTGCCAAAGTTAGTGTTGTGGCCATCAATTCAATGCTCAAATGCATTCTTTCAACATACAATAAAATTCAACAAATGTTAGTTCACATCTTTTATTAATCCATTCATAATTACTTGTCTTCTGGTTTATTGAAGCAGTAAGTCAGACAACACTTGCCACAGTAGTGTCTGTCGAAGTGGCTAGCCATAAAAACTCCAGCACCACATTCATCTGAAGGACACTCACGGCGAAGGCGACTAATTTTGCCATTTTCATCAACCTGAAAAGTACAAACTTGTTGTAAAATAATTTTACAAAACAAATGACTTAAGAAACTCAAATAATCTTTTAATCCCACAATACTTCTAAGAGAAGAAAGAACACCAAGTAAATAAAAAACCTATCTCACCTTATAATATTTCAGGACAGCCAACTTAACCTTCTTTCTCTTATGCTTATTCTTCTTGGGAGTGGTGTAGGACTTCTTCTTCCTTTTCTTAGCACCACCACGAAGTCTCAACACAAGATGAAGGGTGGACTCCTGTAAATGGAGAACAAAAACACATTTTTATTGCTGAATTAAGAATAGGTGACCATGGAAGAGTGGTTCAAATAGTAGTGTGCCTGGCTTTTGCAAACCCAGTCCCACCAAAAAACAATACCACGATTTTTTTGGGGGGGGGGTGGTGTAGTGGGTTTGAATTCAGGGCCTCACACTTACTGGGAGGCACGCTGCCATTTGGGCTATGCTTCTAGCCCTCCAAACACACCTTTTGAATGTTGTAGTCTGACAAAGTACGTCCATCTTCCAGTTGCTTACCAGCAAAGATCAGTCTTTGCTGATCCGGAGGAATTCCTTTAAAAAGCAGGAAAAAAAGTCAGCAGAAGATTTACAAAGCAACAATCTTGAATCAATTAATTTCTAATAGCTCTGAACTCTCACTAGGAATGTAAGCATCTTTCTGAATGTTTACACGTGTTAGCAAATGTAATACATGTTGATAATATTCACTTTGTAAATCAGTAAACAGGACAGGCAAATAAAGTATCCAAATTCACACATGGTAAATGTCTTGCAGGGATTCCAATCCAGGTAACCTGGGTACATACTCATAAACATTTGTCTATTATGCGATTCCAAAAGCATTTCAGCCTGTGTAACATCTTCCCAGTACCAAGAGCAGATATGCCCACCCCACAGGTAAGCCGCTGTCTTTACAGGTTAATTTCCCCTAACTACCAAAACGTCACTTGCCTTCCTTATCCTGGATCTTGGCCTTGACATTTTCTATAGTATCCGAGGGTTCAACCTGTGAGTTTTAAAATGCAAGCACGTTGGTTACACAGACACCTGAGTGAACACTCGCTCAACTCTACAGGACACTTGCCGCAGAACTCAACCCGGTGGGGGGACTTAAGCCAACTCAGTCACGCTGCTTCGTACGCGCTCCAGGCGAGCGTAACTCCCGCCGCGGAACTCCGGCGGGCGGGGGCTGGGCCGCACGCGCTCGCCCGCGAGGGGCGCCGCCTTCCGCACCGAAAACCAGCCCAGGGCATTTGTTCAGCAATGCAGTACCGAGCTTCAGAACCCTAACTCGGAAACGTGTTCAACGCTTGGAAGGCGGCGCTGCCTCGCAAAGCAACCAAGGACCTCACCCAGGCCTCAGCTTCCGCAACCACCAGCCCGTACCTCGAGCGTGATGGTCTTCCCAGTAAGGGTTTTTACGAAAATCTGCATTTTGGCGGCGGTTCCACCTGATGTCGAGAGAAAAGAAGAAACCAATTAGACCAGGGTACACTGTGGAAGGCGACGCATACGTCGCTGGCGGGAGACCGACCCAGGAGCACACACTCACCGCAGATGGCGGATCGGAAAGGAAGAGCGCCGCGCCTGCCTCCCGGGTTTCCTGGCTGAAGGCCCCGCCCCTTAGGTAACCACAGCAATGCCTGACTGCAGTCACAGCGACTGTCTAACGCAGTGCCAGACTAGGTAGAGAACCTCGTGTCGCTTTCCTGAGTCTGAGCTCATTTCTCACTGTAGTCCTCAGAATGCTCTCAAAATGTACAAGCAATTTTAAATCGTCTTTAAAAGTCCTTCCCGTACGGTCCACGTGGGCAAGAGGGTCTTTGGGAAAAAGGAAGTGAAGTGCAAGTGCATTTTGGGAGTTGTAGTTTTCCATTTGTCTCTTCTAGCTAGGACTGCTTGTCCCAAGATGCAGTTCTACACCCCAGGGTTCCCTAGTTACAGTCTCTAAGCACTGGAGTTTGTTTTAGGAGAAAGGCGCTCAGGTGAGGAGAGGAGGAGGGATGCGGCAGAGTAAAGGTCAGGGAGGGTGAGACCCGGCTGAAAGTGATTACAACAAAAGGCTTAAGGGGCTAGAGAGTAGTGTAGGGCGCGAACGTACCTTTCACCTGCTTATTGAGATGCTGAGTGGCGGAAGGTCAGCGTTTCCCTTGTTGCTTTCCGCACTTCGAAGAAAAGCGAATCTCCGCCGACTCCAGGAAGGCTGGAAAATAGATGAAATCTTTAAAAGTGGAGATTCAGCCTTTTCCTACCCTTCCCGCCGTCAACTCCCAAGTCTTCTAGCCTAAGGAATGTTGGGGCCGGGTGTGTGTCTCGTCGGTGTGAAACAGTTTAGTATGTGGAAAACTTGAGATTTGTAAATCTTAAAATGGACCCGTGCAGAAAGAAACCTGATAGATGTAGTTGTAGAATTTACAAGTTTGGTCTCATGAAATTGCTCTTCCCATCTCCATATATGGCAATTCTTAATTTTTGGTAAGGCCAGAAACTTTATTATGGTCATCCTTGTTTTGTTTTTAAAAGCGCTACTAATTTTTCTTTTTTATTAACATATTCTGGTTTTACCGAGGGAAACATTGTGACATTTACATATGTGCTTACAATATATCTTAATTAGATTCACCTCCTTTATCCCTCCTCTCCCCTTCTTAGAACGCTTTCAACAAGTCTCATTGTTCTATTTTCATACATGAATACCAAATACATCCACCATATTCGCCCTCCTTCACCGTTTCCTTATGCCCTTCCCCTCCCCTTGGAAACCATCCCCCTACAGGACCTGTTTTACCTTCCTGTGTTTCCTTTCTATAATTTTTTTTTTGTTAGTATGTGGTATACAGGGGATTTTGTTGTGACATTTCCATGTATGCTTTTCGTACCCCACATCTAATCCTTCAGCAGATCTTGGCTTTATTTTCAAAATATATGCAGAACACTTCTCACCATCTTCACTGTTACCACTTTGTTTCAAGCTACTATCATCTTGTGCCCAGATATATTGCTTCCCAATAGTACTTCCAGCTTTGATCTTTGTCTCCTATTCATTGTCTACAGAGCAGCCAGAGAAATTCTTCAAAATGTAAGTCAACTGTCAATTTTCTACTTCCTATCTCACTCAATAAAGCCTCAGTTCCTATAAGTGATGCTGTTGCTCCAGCATGGAAGCACATAGAGACCACAATCTAGCTAATTTCTCCTCTTGTCAAATCTACCCAGAGAAAGAGGCACCTTTTTCTAAACTACCATACAGGTGCTGGGTGGGGTGGTGATGGTTCTTGCCTTTAGTCCTACCTCCTATGTAAGGTGACAGGATCTCTCTAACTCTTCTCTCCCTTTTGCATTCTCTTCTAGCCCTACAGGCCTTTTGCTGTTTTTCAAACATGTCCTGCCTTGAGTCTTTTGAACTTGTTCTCTTTGCCTCAATGACTTCTGCCAGGAATCTACATGACCTGCTCTTTTTCAGATTTCTGAAATGTCACCTTGTTACATGAAGGCTTTCCTTTTTCCTGACCTACTGTCTTATATAAAATATTACTCTCCTACTTTTCCTACTCTTTCCCCTGTAACCCGTCTTATATAATTTACCATCTGTCATACTTTTTTTTAAAACTTGTATGTTGTCTGTGAGATTAGGGACTTTGTTTTATTCAATATTTATCTCCAGGATCTGGAATAGTGGCAGATACACAGTTGGTACCCTCAAAAGTATTTCGAATAAACACATGTAGCACAACTTAAGCATTTCCCTGAATATTGTACCACTAGATGTCTCTCTTAACATTTCCCTATCCTCTCTCATAGGCTAGTGAGATGCCTCTTTGGGCTTCTGTAGCCTGTTGTGCCTACTGCTATCATACTGTCTTCTCTGCTCTGAAGCAATGGCTCATTTACTAGGAACCCTGGTGACTTGTTTTCAAAGTATTCTTGTATCTAATATGAATGAATGACAGTTTCAGTTATGTATGTAATTCAGTGAAAATGTGAAGGAGTAATCACTTTAATTGTGTTCTGGTTTGAGGAGACCATAAGTCAGATGTCTTCTGAGCAGACAAGATCATTACTTAGTGACTCAGCAAATATCTGAGTACCTACTCTGCTAGAAACTATTACGCACTTCAGTGCATATGGGTAGGGAATGGATAATGAGGAGTGAGAACATTTTGGCTCCTGATTTAGTCAAAATTATAGCCTAAGAGGAGATAGAGAATATAAACAAGACCTGGAGGTATGCTTCAAGTGGTAGAGCTCCTGCCTCACAAGCACAAAGCCCTAGGTTCAAACCCCAGTACCACCAAAAAATTAAGATACTTAGGAGAATATAAACAAGAAGTCTGTAATACAGGATTAAGTGATAATACCGTGATAGGGAAAGTGCATGATACTATAGCAATGGCACCTGACCAATTTTAAGGGAATCAGGGCATCTTTCCTGAAACTGTATTGGCTGAGATCTGAAGAAAGTAAAGTAAGTGAATGAGAATGGTAATATGTATGTGGGTTTTTGAACAGTGGAGGGAGAAGCTGAGTGTGAGATAAAAGTCTGCAAGGAGTGGGAGGGTGGGAAATTACACAAGACTCTATTGATAAGTTCATGGGTGAGAGATAGAGGGTACCCAAGAAAAGGACCAGGACATGGAAAGGGTAGGTTTTGTCAGAGAAGAAGAGTAATTGGTTCCTAATGGACACTAATAGGGCAAGTAGAGAAACTTGGATTTTATGCTAAGGAATATAGAAATAATATTGGTATTCAGATTTTACCTACCATGCCCCAATAATTGTGCCAGTCCTTTCTCTTTTGATGTTTACCTTTTCCTCCTTGCATTTGTAGTCTCTTTCCTCTACTATAAAGTAAGCTCAAAGGAGCTAGGGCCTTTGTCTTATTTATTGCTAAATCCCTAGCTATGAAATTTGGCCTGGTACTTAGTAGACACTCAATTAATACTGGTTGAATGAATGAGAAGACACATTGATTTTCCATTTCAGAAAACTGTTTATCTATTTATGGCTTATTACCATAAAATAGGAACTACTTTCATTTGTAAATTGACTTTTTGATATCAAATTCATCAGCATAAAGATAAATTTGGTCTTTTAAACTTCAATATTATTTTGGTATCTCCTCCTACACATGACCTATAGACAGTATTTATAGATCATATATGTTATTTCAGATAACCACATATCAATTATATTGCCAAAACATCATAAAATTGGTTTATATATCTATTCATTACACATTATTTATAATAGTGAAAATGTCCAACAGTTAGGGGAGGGTAGTTAAATAATTTATAGAATATCATACCATGAAGTACCATGCAATTTTTGGAAGTCATGTTTTTTAAGACTACTTAACAACATGAAAAACTGCTTTTAATGTTGTAAGTGAAAAAAATTAGAATGTACAACTGAATATAGAGTTTGATCCCAATTTTTATAATTATAAAGATTGGAAGGAACTGTATCAAAATAAGTAGTTATTTTCTTTAGGCAGTGGGATTCTGGATGATTTTTGTTGTCTTTGCTAATTTTCTTTGGTTTCTAGCTTCCAAATTTTTTACCATGAATATGTACTCATACTAGGGGTTCTATCTGATGTTACTGTGAATAGACCTTAGGAAGCTGGATACCAACTTCTGTATTCAATTTCAATTGGATAATGATGCTTTACTAGAAGCAGTATAATGAAATTGCTTGAAAATGATTCTCTGAAAAGAAACTGTTATCTTTGACATCATTAATGGATATATATATATATATATATATATATATATATATATCTTTTTTTTTTTTTTAGCAGTACTGGGTTTTGAGCTCAGGGTTTTGTGTACTCTACTGCTTGAACCCAAATACCTTTTTTTATTGTGCTAGGTGGGGATACATTGTGGCATTTACAAAAGTTCTTACAATATATCAAATATATCATACTCGAATTCACCTCCTCTACCATTCTCCTTTATCCTCCCCTCCCCCCATTCCTGGATCTTTTTTTTTTTTCTTAAATGGATCTTTGTGTGTGTGTGTGGTGTTAGAGATTGAACCCAGGACCGCATGCATGTGAGGCAAGCACTCTACCACTGAACTATATCCCTCAGCAATGATGGATTTTAACAGAAGGCTTTACTTACTTTTCACATTAAGGATGAGAATTTATATATATATGTATAATTTTTTTTAAATAATGAGGTTTGAACTCAGGGCCTTGTGTTTGCTAGGCAAGTGATCTACCACTTGAGCCACTTTTTGTTTTTAGTTTTATTTTTCAGAGAGAGTCTTGCTTTTGCCTGGGGTTTGACCTCCTCCTACTATGCCTTCCACATAGCTAGAATTACAGGCATTCGCCACCACGTCCAGCCCTAAAATTTATCATAAAACTATTTGTATGCTGCATACGTGTGACTGGGCCAGGTAGGCACTGAGTAGAGAAGTATGTGACCTTATTTGTGTCAACAAGAGTCTTATACTCTAGTTTTCCCCAGGAAACAAGTAAGTAAAATACTAAATCTATTATAACTTGTTTAGTTACAATGATCGTCTCTCCACATATCCTTATAGTTATTATTAAAATGTGATATAAAATTTAAAAAGTGGTTAAGGATATATACCTCAATAGTGCAGTGCTTACCTAGCATATACAAGCCAAAAAAAAAAAGGTAAAAAAATAAAACTTTAAAGAGCTGAGCATGGTGACTCATGCCTGTAATCCCAGCCACTTATGAGGTAGAGATTGTAAGGATTGTGTTTTAAGGTCAGCCCAAACAAAAAAATTAGCAAGACCCATCTCAACTGACAAGCTGGGCATGGTGGTGATCTCAGATATACGGGAGGTAGAGGTAGAAAGATTGGAGTCCCAGGCAAAAACATGAGACCCTATTTGAAAAATAACTAAAGAGCAAAACAAAAAACGGGCAGGGGTGTGACTCAAGTGGTAGAGTGCCTGCCTATAAGCAATCTCAAAGCCTAACTTCAAACTCCAGTACCATCCATTAAAAGAAAAAAAAGGTTTTGAGTTAAACATAAGAAACCATTAAATGTTATATATTAAAGGTGTTGTACTTGGTTAGTAATCATTTGAATTGCTAACTGGTATTTGGTATTTCTAGCCCAGAGGTATAGATTATGACAGTAGAATAGCATAAAAGTTTTAATTTATAGGTTGAAATATCTCAAAGACAGATCCATGGGAAATTTTTTTGAAATAAGTATACATGTTTTAGATTAATATTTTTACCTAAGATTTTTAAGCCTTAAGATTAATCAATGGTCTTTTTTTTTTCTCTCAGGCCCACCATAGCTTTGGCTTTGTTGCAAAGGAGGTCAAGATTTACCATTTCTCTGGTGAACAGTGTGCAGATTAGAACTTAATGTCTGTTCAAGAAATAAATAAACATGCAGTTCTCCCTCCTATCATTAATAGAAGTGACAAGGAATTTTTGAGAAGTATGCAAAGATACATAATTACAGAAATTGAAAGAGTGGGCTGTACTGCTGAAGGACCTGCTGATGAATATTACATCATATACCGAAATGTTTTTGATAAGGTATCATAATGGTCTTAAGACAGTAAAGTTTTCATGACGGTAGAAATGACCTATCTTAACAATTAAAATTCCCACCTTAGTAATACCACTGCTTAGTTGACCATATTCTGTTTGCCAGCTTTGAGAAGTTTATCCAGGTTGTCAGAAAGTGATGAATGGGGAAAATGCAATTGTGGATCTATATTCCCTCATGGTTGATGCAGGTTTCCCTTAGTTTAACTTAGCAGGCTGTTTTCGATGGCAACTTGGCTATGTCATTTGATAGCCGTTTTGACCCTCCCATCTGAAGGTATCGTCTAGTTTGTTAGGAGTTGGGTTGTAAACAAGAGCCTGGTAGTAATCTTGTTTGGGTTTGTTTGTTGTATCATTAAAATCTTGCTTTAGACCTCTTTAGAGCTCCAGGTGCTGTGGCATGCGTAAGGTAGTTCTAGCTGCTGGAAAGGCTGAGGCTAGAGGGTCCCTTGAGGCCATGAGTTGGAGGCCACCAAGGGTGGCATAGTAAGATTCCCCCCACAGCCCCCAGCTCAGAACAAATAAACAAATAGTAGCTTAATGTCAAAAGTTGAGACCTTTGTAGTCAGGAGGTCTAGATAGGCATGTTGGATAAGGGGTTTAACTAAACTTAACACTCCAGTGTTAAGTATAATGCAGATAGATTAGAAAGTGCTGTTCCTTATGAGTTAGAAATAAATGTTTTTCTTCATAAATAATTGCCTCCCCCCACCTTTTTTTTTCCTCCTTTGGAAGATTCCCTATCAGTAAAATAAGTGAAATCAGCATCTTTTCCTCTTTGCCTAGAGGAAATACTAACCTTAAGACTTCAGTAAACTACTGCTCTCTAAGTAAAACAGCCACAGGCAAAATAGGACTCAGTCTTTTGCTTATTTTTTAAATACTACATCCTGTGAGTCTTATTTCTCCTCTAACTAAAGACCTAGTGCCTCACTCCAAGGAAAACTGAGCACAAAGTAGTGATAAGTATCACAGTGGAATTAATGAAACTATACATCTATAAGAATATAAAATAGAGAAAGAGCCGTTTCATCCCTTTAAATTGTCCAGAAAAACAATCTTTTAGAATTGGTATGTTGGGGCAGATTATCTTCATTTTATACATCATTATGACCAGTGATTCTGTTGTTAGTCTTAGTTATTAAGGACAGTATTGGGTGAATGTTTAAATAAAGGAAGTATCTTGAGTAGGCTTCATAAATATCCAGAGTCATGCTGAGATTCTATTTGTGTGAAATCAACAAAGAAACTTTTACAACTGTATTTTCTTATCCATGCATGCCTGGGCTTTGGCAGAATTTTTCTTACCTTAGAATTCCTTGTTTTAAAGTAATTTTGGAGTTGGTTTCTTAAGAGAAAACACATGGGGTTAAATAAAAAATATCTACATCTATACCCATATTCCTTTTCTTTCTTCACTCCAAATTTCAATCTGGACTATTTGCACATTATATAATTGTATAACTGTAAGCTGCACATTTATTTGTTCATCATAAATAATTCTGTTCTTCAGGACAAAGAGGTGATCTGTGATGGAAATCATTTGATATTTTTAGAAGAGAAAATTTTCTTATATTTTTCCAGAACACTTGATTATTAATGATCTGATTTGATTCAAGTCTCTGACATTTTTTTCTCTCTTGGAAAGATCTAGATGACCAGAAGATAAAAACTGTCAACTTATATCTCTGGCTACTTGGAACTGGAGAACAAACACCAACTTATGTTTTAAGTGATACGACTTGTAAAATCATATCTGAATCAAAGCAGAGAGGGCCTGAGAATCATGCTCAGTCAAGAGTGTATGGTAGTGTGAGTCAAAGATCTAGTAAACAAAGAAGACCAAAGCTAGAGGAGTGAGCTTCTATAGAAATGGGTGTCTTCACAAGGGAGGGGTGAGGATAGGCAAGACACCTAAAAAATTAGCTAGCATTTGTTGCCCTTAATGCAGAGAAACTAAAGCAGATACCTTAAAAGCAACTGAGGCCAATAGGAGAAGGGGACCAGGAACTAGAGAAAAGGTGAGATCAAAAAGAATTAACCTAGAAGGTAACACCCACGCACAGGAAATCAATGTGAGTCAATGCCCTGTATAGCTATCCTTATCTCAACCAGCAAAAACCCTTGTTCCTTCCTATTATTGCTTATACTCTCTCTACAACAAAATTAGAAATAAGGGCAAAATAGTTTCTGCTGGGTATTGAGGGGGTAGGGGGGAGAAGGAGGGGGCGGAGTGGGTGGTAAGGGAGGGTGTGGGGGCAGGGGGAGAAATGACCCAAGCCTTGTATGCACATATGAATAATAAAATTAAAAAAAAATGGGTGTCTTATGGAGGGAACTGGATTCTGGAAAGCAACTAGGCTTCTGTGTTCCTGGTAGCTTGTACAAGGATCTGTATAAATGCATCCCATTCCTCTTCTCACTCAGAGAAGAGTTATGATTTTCTTGAGTTTAATGGAAATGTTAATTAGGACTCTTAAACTTTAATGCCTTCAGAGACCAAGAAGGAAATATTATAAAAGAGTTAAGTGGTGTGAGAGAATAAGGAATGCTGGGGACTGTAGTAAAATGAACCAATCAGTTTAAGTTCCAGCTATTGTTGAGGAATGGGGATCCATCCATATTGGTAGATTTCTCAGAATTTTCAAGGAAAGCTAAAAATATGGTTTTGGGGTGAAATTTCCCAAATTTTAAAATATTTTGTGGGTCAGGTGAAATTGGCACCTGTATTCTACTTTGCTGTGCCAGTTTGCATCCTCTACTTTGATGCATTTTCTGTGCATTCTCAAAGAATGCCATTCAAATGAGTGTTCTTTTGAAATCTGTTTCTTTTAGCAAACTGACATGGACAATGACCATGATATTGCTACAATTGTATTAGTTACTCATTATTGTATCTGCATTGTCTTAGATTGTTGAAACACATCATAGGGGCACATGAAGTAGAGGATGTCCAGGCACACCAGGGTGCTTATTGTGGAAGACTACAAATCCATGACCTCTGTTCTACTAAAGTTTCCTTATTAAAGTGAAAAGATAGTATGGTCATGTCAATAAGAAACTAATATCTCCTATTCAAATACATTCTTCTGGCACTTCCCACTGATTAATAACCTCCTTATATCATTTTTTGATATACTGGATTTCTTCTAGGACAATTTTTCTAGATATTTTCTAGATAAAGAAAACCAGTGGAAGCCAGGCATAGGTGGCTCACACCTATAATCCTAGCTACTTGAAAGGCCGAGATCAGGAGGGTTGAGGTTCCAGGCCAGCAAAGGCAAATAATTCATGAGACCCCCCATCTCCAAACTAACTACAGCAAAATGAATGGAGGTATTGCTCAAGTGATAGAGACCCTGCTTTACAAGCACGAAACCCTGAGTTAGAACCTGAGTCCTACCAAAAAAAAAAAAAAAGGAAAAGAAAACCACTGAAGGATACTGAAGATGATAAGTGATAAGTATAGCAAGAATTTAAAGTATAATTGTAGGTTTCAGAGAAAAGTTTTTATCAACTGCTTTTATGCCTTATACACATGGATCCCTTCTGAAATCTTCATGAGCTAAATTTGAAAACCAGAAGTCATTTATACCTTCTGTTTTTGGTTTTTAACTTATTTTAAAGTGTTTTTGTTGGTTATTTTTGTGTGAGTTATGTGTATATATATATAAGGTTAAGAAAAAACTAATAAAGGAGACTATGTGATCAAAAGGCAAGTCCTCAGCTCAGACCTTTCTTTCTCTTTAGGCATTCACTATTTCTTTTGTTATCCTTTCTGATGTTATTTTCTTCTGTTACCCTTCCTAAAATATTCTTTGCTTTATTTCTTTATTTTTTTTTCTTTAATTATTCATATGTGCATACAAGGCTTGGGTCATTTCTCCCCCCTGCCCCTACCCCCTCCCTTACCACCCACTCTGCCCCCTCCCTCTCCCACCCACCCCCTCAATACCCAGCAGAAACTATTTTGCCCTTATTTCTAATCTTGTTGTAGAGAGAGTATAAGCAATAATAGGAAGGAACAAGGGTTTTTGCTGGTTGAGATAAGGATAGCTATACAGGGAGTTGACTCACATTAATTTCCTGTGCATGTGTGTTACCTTCTAGGTTAATTCTTTTTGATCTAACCTTTTCTCTAGTTCCTGGTCCCCTTTTCCTATTGGCCTCAGTTGCTTTTAAGGTATCTGCTTTAGTTTCTCTGCATTAAGGGCAACAAATGCTAGCTAGTTTTTTAGGTGTCTTACCTATCCTCACCCCTCCCTTGTGTGCTCTCGCTTTTATCATGTGCTCAAAGTCCAATCCCCTTGTTGTGTTTGCCCTTGATCTAATGTCCACATATGAGGGAGAACATACGATTTTTGGTCTTTTGGGCCAGGCTAACCTCACTCAGAATGATGTTCTCCAATTCCATCCATTTACCAGCGAATGATAACATTTCGTTCTTCTTCATGGCTGCATAAAATTCCATTGTGTATAGATACCACATTTTCTTAATCCATTCGTCAGTGTGGGGCATCTTGGCTGTTTCCATAACTTGGCTATTGTGAATAGTGCCGCAATAAACATGGGTGTGCAGGTGCCTCTGGAGTAACCTGTGTCACAGTTTTTGGGTATATCCCCAAGAGTGGTATTGCTGGATCAAATGGTAGATCAATGTCTAGCTTTTTAAGTAGCCTCCAAATTTTTTTCCAGAGTGGTTGTACTAGTTTACATTCCCACCAACAGTGTAAGAGGGTTCCTTTTTCCCCGCATCCTCGCCAACACCTGTTGTTGGTGGTGTTGCTGATGATGGCTATTCTAACAGGGGTGAGGTGGAATCTTAGTGGTTTTAATTTGCATTTCCTTTATTGCTAGAGATGGTGAGCATTTTTTCATGTGTTTTTTGGCCATTTGAATTTCTTCTTTTGAGAAAGTTCTGTTTAGTTCACTTGCCCATTTCTTTATTGGTTCATTAGTTTTGGGAGAATTTAGTTTTTTAAGTTCCC